ATCGTGCCTTTTAGCGAGACCCAACCATTCTTCAGCGCTAATTTGTATTCATGTGACTATTATGGCCATTTTTATCAGTCGCCTTGCTGATTTATGCCACTTTTCCGTGAACCCAATGAGTTTGGAACAACTTTGTGGGCACAAAAGGAGATACGGCAAGCGGCTGGTTCAGATAGACCTCGAACTCGAATTTTCCGGCAGGAATTAGAGTCCCTATCGTCATCAGTACCACCATTATCGCAATGGCCAGTAATAGTAACCGCAGCCTCGCCATTGTCGACATAAGTATAGGCTCCATAGTTAGCAGATGATGATTCATTAGCAGGTCCGACGAGGCTAACAGGGGCCATAGAAGAAATAGGAGGCTCAAGACGCGGCATCGGCCGACCCCACCAAGCCAATCGGAGGTCGGCAAAGACAAATTCAAGTCGGAGGCAATGCTCACGCACAGGCACAGCATACAGATAAGCAACTTCACGGAGAGTGTGCATCGGTTCCAGACACTGTCCGTCAAAAAAAATGTCAACAGTCACGCGGTCTAAGCAGGTCTGCTGATATTTGGCAAGCAAAAGACGCTGAAGACTTGATACAGGAAGCTCGCAAGGACAGAGAAGATATACAGTCTCATTGGCTCCTTCATATACCTCACAGTTGATTGAGCCAGATTGTAAGCACCCTTCTCTGCGTGGAAAGCTACATTTAGTTAAATCCATGCCCGCCGTAAACCTAGGATCAACTAAGCCCGAAGTGGATGGGTCATTTGGGGTAGAACATGGGCTAGGTGCCGCTGATAAAGAAATTCTCTTTCCAGGAAACGAAGTCATCGAACAGTGAAAAAGATGTGAAGAAAGAGGGCCAGATGGGAGGTGATTAGCCAGTCCAGCAACCTCACCGGATTGATCCGAACTCTGAGCCGGAGATCCAATGTGGCAGGCAGGCCGAGTAAGCGAGACAGAGATCACTTCCCCTGGTTCAAGTAGGTAGGTTTCTAGCTGTCGAAAGAAGGTGGACGTAAGAGTGCTTGCAACAGGGTCATTCCACTGAGTTAGCGAATAACTGGAGGTAAGAGAGATAGAAGAGGCTGGAGACGATTGTAGGATGAGATTCAGGTCCTTGAGATCTCCTGCCTCCAGAGACGAGCATCCAGAAGATGGAACTACTGAAACAAGGCTTGTCAGTAAATGTTTATTGAAAGCGCAGTTATTATTCTCAGCAAGGCGATTTGAGGAATCTGAATTCAGAAGAAAATCGTAAATGGCGTCAGTAGTGCTGGCAAACCAATTAATTAAAAAGCACATTGGATCAGAAATAGCCATAATGAATAAATGATTTATTAAATGAAAATCAAATAAATATATTCACAAAATAATCGAATTGGTTTTCAAGGATATGCTAAGTGTTTGCATGTAGAATTTGAAATTCTATAGTATTTGGAGATTTATGAGAAAAAGTTAGGGAACAAAAATGTTTAAACACTTAAATACTGCTTAGTATAATAAACAAAAATGTCCATTGTTAGCTTGACCTCGTTTTGTGCAAGGTTATAACCAAGGGGATAATACTTTCGTAAGAATAATGTCGATATGACAAAAACTAATAAAAACTATAAAAAGCCAAAATACCCTTCATAAATGGGTGAGGTTCAACAGATATACAGAGTATGACTTTTGGATAGTGGCCAGTCTGCAGAAAAGCTTCGAAATATAGCATTGCTAATCAACAATGTTGAGTTCTAAACTTCCAAGAGGAGCTGGGCCGATGGAAAACATTAATATCCGATGCCCAGTACAATCTATGAGTCGGATAAACAGATTCTAGAAGTCTAATTTGTATCAAACAATAATCTAAATATAAGCAATTTAAAAAACATCAAGGGTTTCGGATATTAAAAATAAAATTATAAGCAGTAAATAATAAAACAAGCGCAACTCCTAGCAAGAATGCAAACAAGAAAGACCAAAATAGTCAAAAAGCAAGTTTATCTAGAAAATTAGCGCTAATGCTAAAGATATTCTAAGCATATAGATTCCAAAACTGGATTAAGTAGAAAAAATATATATGCCTTTAAACATAGGCCAATGTAGAAGCTATCGAAAATGGTTCTT